GAAACGTCATAATAAAAAAGAGTGACACTCTCAAAACAAATCCGCACTTTTTTTTTTTATAAAAGAACGATACAAAATGTCGACTCTCATATCTCTTCCATAAATACGTTGTAAAAAGAAAATTTTATTATCAGCTGATAGGAAATTGTCTCGTCTTTCGAACAGTGTATGATTTATATTTGTCACACATTCGTAAATAAAAATTAGACGAAGAAGAAAGAGAAAGGCCCCTCAAATAAGTTTGCAATTTTTATACGAATTAGTCAAAAACATCAGTAGATGACAGTTAAGCATTATTAGTTGTCGTTTCACAAACTGTTTTTAGCGAGTTCATAAAAGTCAAAGTAACCACTGTTTCACAAGAACTTTTTAATGAGCACACGAAAATCTAATTAATTTCTTTCTGACAAGATGTTTTTTGCCTAATTAATATAAGAATTGCAAATTTTTGCAGGAGTCTTTCCCTTTCTTCTTCGTCTAATTTTTATTTACCAATGTGTGACAAATATAAATCATACACTGTTCGAAAGAGGAGAAAATTTCCTATCAGCTGGTAACAAAATTTTCTTTTCAAAACGTATTTATTAAAGACTTATCCAAAAGATAAAGGAATCAACACTTTGTGATGTTTTTCTAAACTATACGAAAAGTGCGGATTTATTTTGAGGGTGTCTCTCTCTTTTGTTATGGCGTTTCGTTTACATACGTGTTATAAAAATAAGTTATGCACGATTCGAAAGAGGAGAAAAAACTCTATCTTTTGGTTAAAAAAAATTTCTTTCAGTATCTTTCTATCGAAGTGAAATAGGGGTTAACATTTTGTACCATTACTTTTGCATCGTATGTTACGAAGTGATGAGTGAAAAGAAAGATTATTTATAAGAATTGTAGAATTTCTTTCGTATTGAAATTATTCGAAAAGATCGAATGTTAGTTCGCTTGAGAGCATTCATATGTGGAATAACAATCTTTATGGTATACATTGAGATGTCTTTGTAACGGAAAATTGATCATAAGGTGAATAATAGGAATAATAATAATGATATGGTGAAGGATACGATGAAGAAAGATGAGTGACCGCGTAGTTGAATCACGTATTTACGGCCTTGCTTCGTTTATTGTTTCTTCAACCTCAATTCCGTTACTTGTTGTATATGATTTTATTTCTCTCTTGATATTAACACACACACTATATCTGCTCCACAATATATCTCTCTTTTATCACTTGTACACCAACAAATATATACCATCTAAGAAGGATGTATATCAATGAGAGAGTTGTATCCTCCACGCTGTACAGTATCCTTTGAGACTATTCTCGATCGTTCTCTTCTCTTCTCTCTTCTTCTCAACGATTTATCCTTGCATCTGTTTGATGCAATAATCTCTCGGAGTGAAAAGAGAACAATGAGTATATACGTAATGAATAGCGCAGCGCTTACAAAGGTATTGAAAGAGTATTGAACACTATGAACAGTATGACGTAAAGATACAAGGTTAACTTCATACGAGGATGATATGAAGTAAGAGTAAAATAACTCAGGGATAATGTTACATACTGGTGATAGCATGTAACATCGGTGTATCTCTTGGCACAGTCTTGTTGATATTCATATATGAGAGAAAATAATGGTTAGTTTGTACGAAAGTTATCTTGAATGATTTTACAGGTCAATGACTTACACTTTTTCCCATGTTGTCACAATCAAGAGTGAAACATATATAGGGTACGTAAAAATGTTTTTCCAAGAAGATAATGCTATTATTTTAAACAGATTCAATATAAAAAAAAGTTGATACCAATTTAAAGCACGTTGCAAAATGGATTCATCAATATTAAATATAAGACTTATGAAAACTTTTCAATGTTGAGTTCAGAAAATTTCTACTATTTTACAATTTTACATCCTATAAACATAGAAAAATTTCATGCATGACATGTTTCAAACTTGATTTGATTCAACAAGATGCATATTACAAAGCAAAGTATACCGAACTCATTTAGTTGGATCTTATCGAATCCATGAGCTATCCAACAATATGCGATGGTCAACATTCGACTGTCAGAAACTATCAACATCGTTTAATTTCGAACGAATTTTATCGATAAGATCCTGAGATATCTGACATTAGGACTCTGTCAAATCCGATGGAATTCCATGGTAGGATGTGGATGTGGATCTTCTCTTTACCTAGACTCATGAGACTAGCTATACGAATTCACGTAGCTAGGAAATGAGAATCATACGTTTGGGAACTTGATAATTTTAACACTCTCTATTCAACTGAACCCACTTTTCAAGGTCTATCCTACTATCATTTTCTAGTTCGTCCGCTTGCTGGGCAATGGATGCATAATGCGCACGTGTCGAAGGCTCATATTATTCCGTGTGTTCAGTCTTTTTTTGTGCATGTACACTGGATAAAATGACAGTAACAGAACAGAACAATATTTTGTGTCTTACTTAACGAGCATATACACAATAAATTTCAAGTGTGACAAAGAGAAGCATATACAGGCATATATGTGAGTACTAGCCGTAATTTACTTAATTGACATTACAGACACGAATACCAATGAATTAAAAGTTAAGAATACTGATTGTTTCGATGAGAAATAGATCAACAAAGAATAACAAAAAATTCGAACAAAAACAATTCATCAAGTTCCATGAGCCTCTTCTCGTTCAATACGCGATGTGAAGTCTTATGAGGAAAACTTTTGAGGTGCCGCCCTCCCCTCTGATTTCAATGATTCTTTTTTCCTATAGATACTGTTTAATGCTCTAGTAAAAACTCTTAAAGAATTTGAATTCCTATCACTTCCTTCGAAACTTATGAACATTTTAATTTTGGATCCGTAGTGCATAACATTCGGTGTGGTTCATAAAATGTATTACGATAAAAAATGAAATATTTCTGCATCATTTCAATCAAGTGTGCTGAGATTTTTTGGTCAATGGTAGAAGCTTAATCAAAGGTTTTTTTTCATACGAATAAGGTAAGCAAACATTACCATTAAGTATTATTGTTCGTATCAAGAAAGCAATTTTACCTGTTATCAAGTAAAAAAAGAACACATCCTTAGTGTTTTATAGATGATTTTGATTTTTTATCTAAGAGAATAAAAAGCACAAGTTGAAACGAACTTCATGAATGATTTCTTATTGACGTACAAAAAGTAAGTTTTCAAATCTGGTCAGTTTTAATGCTGAAGTTTGTGTCCCATAAGTAATATATACAATTGCAGCCCTTTGAGTATCAAAACACCAACTCTCTTGTAAAAACCTGTATTCTATGTTTGAATATTCGACAATTTGTAATTGTTGACTTTTAAACTAACTCGTTTTGTCAATTTGCTTTATGTACATCAATACAGAATAATTCATAAAGTTCGTTTTAACTTGTTCTTCTTATTCTCGTAGATAAAAAGTCAAAATCATCTATGAAACACTAAATATGTGTTCTTTTTTTACTTGATAGCAGGTAAAATTGCTTTCTTGATACGAACATTAATACTTAATGGTAATATTTGCTTACCTTATCCGTATGAAAAAAAACCTTTGATTAAGCTTCTACCATTGACCAAAAAATCTCAGCACACTTGATTGAAATGATGCAGAAATATTTCATATTTTATCGTAGTACTTTTTATGACTCACACTGAATGTTATACACTACAGAGCCAAAATTAAAACATTCATAACTTTCGACGAAAGTGATAGAAACCAAAATTTTTTAAAGAGATTTTACTAGAGCGTTGAATAGTATCTACAGGGCGTCTGAAAAGTGGCTCCCTATTTTGAATTCTTTATTACTCTCAAACAACAAAAAATATTATAATGATTTTTTCATCGTTTTGAAGCATGTGTCATGACATCTAATTGAAGATGGAACCAGCCGATTGATCGTTCGACTGTCTAAGATCAAGTCCGAATTTCGTCTTGAGAATATCTGGAAAGAACTCATTATTTTGAGTAGTTTATTATTCGCATACAAGTACCAGGATGTGAGTGTGTGGGTAAGCATTTTTGCATTGTTCAAACACACACCAAAACTCCACATCCACACCCGAGTTTTCGTACAAAACTAATAAATTACTCAAAATAATAAGTTCGTTTCAGATATTCTCAAGACGAAATTCGGGCTTGATCTTAGACAATCGAACTTATTTTTTAAAGAAGAACTTGGTTGAGAACATACAATAGTTAGGAGATGAATTGCAACAATAAAAGTTAGTTAGATCGACATAGTGAGAACGCTTCTTGGAAATCTTACACATCCTAAGGTGACAACTAGTTGCAATGGAAATCGGTTGAAAACTAAGTTGTTCCGTGCAGTAGTTTTAAAGGGGTCTTCAACGATTCACATACAACTAAAAATAGATTAAAGCATGACATTTTCAGAAAAGGCGGGTTCAAAGGGAAGTATAGAATTACAAAAAATAATGCAACTGAAAATGGATCGATGCCTGTTAAGTCCACTAATACAGAATATCTTGAAAGTGTAAGAAGATACAAGTAGACATCTGTAGATTCTTTGAGATCGAACCCGAATGTGGTCGAGTCTGGATCGGATTCGGGTCTAAAGATTTACTTTTTGTCGGATCTGAGTCTAGATTCACGAAAATGTGGACTCGTAAGTCTATAGATGCAAGTCTTCTCATGTATCATACAAGGAAGAAATGGAGTGATAAAATTGAAAAACATATTTTCGATGACATATTTCTCTGAGATAAAGCTCTTTCTGCAATCGTCTCGAGACTAAAATATGGAACACAATGAATCCTGTATCATCATAAACAGGATTTCTCGTCAATTTTATCATTGTCAGTCTTAGGATTGTAGGAGGAGTATGTTGAAATATCTATTTCGGTGTGTATGTATGTAGAGAGTACTTTGGAGAGACTTTCTTGTTTGGGTATGTACTTCAATATTCATTAGCAATCGTACATTAGAAAAATACGATTAACGATATCATTTTATTGAATAGATTTGATTATGGCTGATTTGAATCCTGCACTTGAAGAGCATCGAACTACAACAAATGGTGAATCATTGGATATTGCAAAACAAAAAAATCAGTCTGAAGACCAACCACCACCATTTTGGTCAATATCGGGTCTTCGTACTCGTTGGGCTGATGCGCAGTTTCGCAAAATGCTGTGGAATATCTTTCTACTATCATGGTCATGGAGTCTCGGTGAAGGTGTATTTTTCATTCAAATAAGTACAACTACGCTGGCTGCCACGAACTTTGCAAATTGGTATTTGGCGACGATTCCAATTGGTTTTATGCTTTTGGTAGGCACTATATGGTCGGTATTTTTGCCGCGTGTTGTGGCACGAATTGGGTATCGGCCACCACTTTATTTAGGTGCCTTGATGGGAATGACTGGAGCAGGAATTTGCATTGTGGCCACGTGGTATAGACTCTACTGGCTGTTGGTAATTGGAGCTGGATTTTTAGGTGGACAAGTACCATGTACCTTATACTATCGTCTCGTAGCATTGCAGTTTTCGACACCACAATTTGCCTCGAAAGCAATTGCAATGGTTGTTGCTGGTGGTTGTCTTTCTGCTGTTATCGGGTAAGTTTATCAATAGTACAACAACAATTGATCAAAGTCTTCGCTGTATTGTGAGAGACAAGAAACAAAAAGATAAGGATATCGATTCTAGATTGAAGTCTCGTCCTTTTATCACCATTCTGGATTCCAGTAGTCCACACAGTAGGAAAAAGAAAGTAACGCATTATCAATCTACTTCAACTCGGACAAAGTATTAGTTGATATAGATGATTTTTGTATTCTAAGTATTTTCTTACAGTTTTTAAGATGAAATTACAATAGAAGTTTACTCCATACTAATACCTTGCTTGAGTCCTGATTAGAAGTGAAGAAACATTTGTTGAACTTCTTTCATTGGGTGATAGGTAAGCATTATGAGAAAAAGACTATCTGTAAAAACATGGTATAATCAAAAGTTTCCCGACCAAAATCTATTCAAAACATCTTCTACATCTGTATTTTCTCTGAACATTTCAAACACCTTATAAGCATTTATATATAAATGAGGACCATTGAACTATGTACTATAGTTTTTTCCTTAGTTGCTCTTACTAAAAAATAACTAATAAATAACTCTTATTTTTGACCTTTCTAGACCAGAGATCGCCAAATATACGGTCAATGCATTATCAAAACCTTTTAGTGGTGCTTATTTAACAACATTGTGTGAGTGTACGTTACTCTTATTTACTATGACAATGATTCAATTTACTGAGATAAAGAATGCTGACTACAGACCAGTATCAACTTCTTCAACACGGACTGCAAATGGAATTAATAAGAACGGTCGTTCAATATATGTCATAGCGACTCAACGAACATTTCTCGTTGCCGCTCTTGGTGGATTTGTATCGTGGTCAGCAATGGCCATTCAAATGTCAGCGACTCCATTGGCAATGACTGCTGCCGGATACGATTTTGTTCAAGTGACAACAGCTGTTGAGTATCATCTTTTGGGCATGTTTGTACCATCATTTATTAGTGGAAATCTATGTAGTTGGTTTGGAAGTCGATTGATTATGCTTACTGGAGTGATTATTCAATTAACAGGAACTCTGCTGTTTCAACGAGGCTTTGAAGTTTCCCATTTTAATTTAGGTCTGATTATTATTGGTGTTGGATGGAATTTGGGCTATGTGGGAGCGTCGACACTATTGACACAGTCTCATCGATCTGAGGAGAAACCAAAAACACATTCATTGTATGAAGCCATAGTTATGCTCAGCATATCAATCGCATTCTTTTCGTCCGCATTTGTAGAGCAATTCTTTGGTTGGATGTTTCTAACTGGTAGATTAATAAGTACCTATCTCGCTACAGTTACATTGATTTTAGCGGTCGATACAGCATTTGTTTTTTATAAAACTGGAAATATACGAGCAGAAATAAAAGTTATCGATGCTGATATAGAAATTTCTGCATGAATAATATGAATTGTTGCTCACTTTCATTATTTATAAAATAAATGTGCGTAGTAAGGATAGATTTTATGTGTGTTTCCCTAATATTGAATTCTCAATAAATCAAAGAACAACGATCTCTTTGTATCTATGTTAGGCAAATGTTCTTTTCAGACAGATTGAACAACAGGTTATTTGAGAATGTTTGATTTCAAGTTTGCCTACTCAGAAATGTGAGAGCATCCTATCTGAAAATTACCAAGAAAATAGTGCTTCACATTATTGCAAGAATATTTGCCATAAAATGCAAAATTCATAAATTTACTATATCAACATGAATAATTTAGGTGAAAGTCAATTATAAAGTTGCATCTGTATCTTTTAGACAAATAGAGCTCATGTCTTGATTGTTGTACATAGTGCGTTAAATTAGTCTTTTACTAAGAAGGTAACGCTATTACTTCAAATACCATCAGTTAGTAATGCTTTAAGAAAAAACATTAAGTTGATTAATAATTAGATAATACTCGAATAGTCCGTGACTACGTGGATACCTCAAGATGAACATTTACTAGTCACCATTCTTCATCCACAACTCAAACATTTCGATAAAAATTCATCCAATAAAACTAGAACAATGCAATTACTTCAAAATGAAATTGAAAAACGTACAAAAACAAATCAATCATCTTCATCTTCATCCAATTCATCATCTTGTACACCAGTTATGATGTTCCTCTTAACATCCTCATCAAAACAAACGACAACAACAGAAAAAAGAAAACAAAACCTTTTGTCTTCATGTTTCGATAATCCTCGATCATCAACATCCACTGTTGATGAATTTGCTTTATGAATATCCTCGACATTAACATTAGCTGATGAAGAAAATGATAATGTTTTAGAATTTTGGTCACATAATAGCAAATCTTTTCCTATTATTTCTACCATCGTATGTGATATTTTTGCTACTCCTACATCATTGATGAAAATGACATTATTCTTATTTCACAAAAAGAAAATATCTTTTAGTAGTGCTTTTCTTCTAAAATATTTCTATATGAATTCTTTAAAATATATTTATAATTTGTGTATTTTACTGCTATTGTGAATGTATTTTGTATTGGTTATATTTCTTTGTTTTTGAATTAACACTATTAAGAAAAGATGTTAACACATATTGAAAGAATGATAAACATAAAATATTTAATTCTCTGTTTAAATTAAAAATTAGCCGTTATACAGCTACATTAAAAGTTTATCATGGCTGACCAGGACCGTGAATCACGGCAGTGACGGTGGTCACATCGAGGTCTAGTCTAGAGTACTATGCATTTTCTAAATACACGGTAAAATACTTTGTCGATATATAAAATCAGTAGTCGAAGAGTAGGACAAAAATTTTCTCTTCAATGCCTGTAAGAACCATTCATTCCAAGAATTACTCTATGAAAAAACTAGATGTTTTCAGTCTAATGAAATCAATACGATTGATTTTACATATCACATTAGTTTTTCGATATTAAGAAATATTTTATCTCTAATGATAGTGAACAAATAATTAGCGAGAATGATGTTCAAACTACGGAAACAACTGATTAAGTCACAAAATCATCTTTGAATGATTCGTGAAAATTGAAATCTTTCTAATCTCTTCATTTCACATTTCAAAGCCTAAAATCCTAAAGATGGTTACAAACAAGATTGACTTTATTCCTTCTTTTTTCTGCTATAAAAAATGTAAAATAAGTTTTGATATCTTCAAACAATATTCTTTTCTCACATATTTCAAAACTGTTATATATAGGTTGATATTCACAGCACATTACACTAAACATCTAGATCTACTCTATGTTAAAATTTCCGCTTTTGATGTATTATTGTTACAGAGATTCAATTAACGTTAAAATCACAAAGTATTTTCAATTATTTTTGTACTCATTAGGAATATAGAAAATTTTAGTTATTCGTTCGTTCCCTTACTGCGAATAACTTTTTATTTTTCTGCATATCATTCTTACCTTTTTGATCATTGGCCTACGCCATAGGGAATAGAAAAAACTTGTTCGATCTTTCTTTCTTCTCCAATGGTGGTAACATGAAGAAACAATAAAACATTCAAATGAATTATACGTATAAGAAATAAAATGGCTTGCATTGTGAATTAATGTATTGGTTGATAACAACCGGCTTTTTTCTCAAAATTAAGTTACGATTACTTTTTCTTTTTAAATACAAGAAACTAATCCACGATAGTTGCGAATGTTGTAAATTAGATCAAATAATCTATATTAAATATTTCAAAAGAAAAGAAAGAATTTGTGTTCAATGTCGCAAAAGATAGATTAAACTGAAGAGCAACTACATAAACATTGATGTACAATTTATCGTTATATTTCTTTAAAAAAATTCGATTTATTAATCGTCCTCAGGGTGAGTATGGGTGTGCAATGAGTTGGTAAACATGTTCTCTTCTCTTATATCCACCAACGTCCACATCATTATCGTTATTGTAAATACAAGACAAGTTGATAAAATTGCTGCGTGTGAAAGCTAATCATTTTTGGCTATTGAATAGAAAGTAACATAATCAATCTAACGTGTCTTTGGAATAATAGAACTCAACAATATAAATATTCTGAAATAAGAAAAATAATGATTATTCCACTTTAATATGAAAAAATTGAATCCTCTACAGTGACACAAAAATAATTTTCCAATTTCTTTTAATAAGTCTTAAATACAACTGAAAAGATGTTCTTATTTGACGAACATCTGATATAACACAGTCTCTGTTATACAGAAACTCTTTAATACTTAAGACCACCCCTTAGAACCGAGGTTTTCAGTAAAAACAAATAATTTTTTTAAATAAATATATGAATATGTTGTTTGAGTTACCTAGTGTACGAATTCATAAAAATAGTTTTGATTCTCGAAGGTTTCCAGGAGTTTTATGGATGATTTATGCACTATCTCGACAAATACTAAGGTCTAGAGCAATTAGTAAATTTTTTTTTTTGAATTAGACTTGCAAAATAAACAAAAATTCTTCATAGGTAATCAAATCTGACGCATTCTAGAGCCACACATTTTTGAAATCTTCAATGACTTGAAGGTGTGGGTGTACATCTTTTCCTCAGCCACCTTGAAAGTAGATGTTTTATGTAAAATCAAGTGAATTAAAAAAATTAGTTTTGCTTTTTTCTGTTTTTATTACGTTGTTGAATGATGTAACAAATATAAAGACAATGATAGGTAGCATCATATTGACGTGTAATATATTTATACTTCAACTCTATTTAAACTCATAATAGGAAGATAATATCCAAGAAAAATGCAAAAAAAAGTTCTTCTCAAAATTGATTTTTTTTTCTCGGTAATGATCGAACCGTGGGCAAATTTTATTGTTAGATATATGCATAGTACTTCAGATGAGGAAATCGAATTTTCTAATTAATCGTCAATGCTAGAAAAACCATGAGTTTTCTAGACAATCACGCCAAAGATTTCCAGATTGTTGAAGTTTCGATGATTCACAAAAATGATATAGAATAAAAATTAAAAAAAGCCTTTTCTTCATCCGAAGTGACAAGAACTTTTCTTTCCATAGAAAGAAAACTGAGCTCTGTAGCTTGAAATATATTGATAAAAAATTTTCCTTCTAGCATAAAAGCTCTGTTTTGCATTTTGATTCCTAGAAATCTTCTGAACGATAAGGTATAGAAACGTGAAAATTTTCTTTTTATTAGTGTACTTTCATGAGTCTAACATCTCTGCAAAGTTTTAGTAATATTCCGTATAGTCTTTTGCAGTTATATCTTTGAAGATGAGGACTCTTAAACACTCTGATTCGACTCTAAATGAATTTTCTATTAAGTCAATAAAAGAAATTTTATTTAAAATTAGTACAAGTTTAATGTGTTTAATCCATCAATGAACGCATCTAGTTTTGCTCTTTTTTTTGATAAAGAAAATCTTAAGCCTTGACGTTGTTATTGTTCAATATTCAGCATAAAATAGGTAATAGTACTTGATATCAATTATTGTGCTTATGTTTTGACAAAATTTCTATATAATCCTACTGCTAATGGACTTACTTGTGTTTTTATTAATGGTAATGTATGTAAACAAAGTCGTAGTTGACTCAATCAAAGAAATGAAAAAGAAAAAAAACCTAATGATTTGGACATGATAAAAAGCGAAATAGTATTGACATTTGTTTGATGATGATTATCTAGACACTCACCCGCCGACACTTGCCAACAATGCTTTGCTTTTTATTGTCTTTCTTTTTTCTATATTAGAAGAAAGATCATCATCTTCATCATCATCTTCATCATCATCATCATCATCAGTATTGCACATCTGGGTACTTGTTTCCTCTTAAGAATAGCTTCATATATATAAATATACCGAAAAAAAGACAGATAGAGTAGAGATTATGGAAGATCAACTTCTATTGTCAGACAATACTGATGATGATCAAGCACAAGATGATGGATCATCATCTTCAATTACGTCGGACAATGAAAATTCTCATAGATTAGCAAGTTCATTTACATCATTTTTATCCAATGAAGATATCAATAAATGTCTTTATGTAACAAATATCAATTGGAAACGAAGATTTTCAGTAAGTTT